GACATTCTTCTTAAGCTAACAATACACACTTGCATAAATAAGCAACTTTTTTTTAATTATGTGCAGATCAGATATACAGAAAAGTGCTAAGATGGTAGGGATGCTTCTGCTCCCTAAGAAATGAGGGGTAAGGCAACTTTTTACATCAAATATAAAAGCACTGGTTTCCTCAACAGAAAAATTATTTACATCTCCAGGTATAACCAGGATGTACAGCTGCTCACCACTGATCCTCTCTCTCTCCTGCAAAAATAAAATATTCTTGATGGAGAACAGTGTTCTGAATTTTCTGTTCCTGCTGTTCCTTACCTTTGTGCTTGTAACTTCATCTACAAATACTGTCCTGTGTATTTGATTTTTAAGTGCTGATCTTTGGCTTTTGTGGCTAGTAACCACACTTGAAAGATGCATGGCCAAAGCACTGGTATGCCCAGCCCACAGCACCCTACACAGTAATAACATTTTTCCTGAAATATTTTGGCATTTCTTCATTTTTATAGTGCTCTTATTCTAGATCTTAGTCGTTCCAGGAGTTCCAGTTTGACACATGACCTGGGAAACCACATGAAGAACATATACAAAATACATAATTTCTGTACATGATGTATTTTGCTATTTCCATTTACAATTTCATTCTGTTTTTCAAAGAATTATACTGGATAATCCATATTACAGGCCATTTTAATTGTCTTTGCTGAGGCTCACCTAAAATTCTAAAGCATACTAGTTTTAGAACTGTCTGCCTGCTAAAAATATACTCATTAATGAAAACATACTAAAACTGTATTTATTATTTAATAAAAACACATGGTATCCTATAGAGAGTTGACTCAATAAATGATCTTGTATTTACAGAACTCACACCTAGGATAGAAAATGCTACATGATATACACAGATACATTATCTATAGAAAATAAAAACTCTAGAAATACAAATATGTAAATTAATCAAAAATGTTTTATCTAATAGCACTTGCATTCCTATAGTACTTTTCCCACATGGTTTCAACTCTGTTTTTTAGATGGCAAAACAGAATAAATGAGTAAGTGTACTTCCTATGATCACAAAGCAGAGCATAGCAGAGACCAGAAAAAAAACCTACAATCTCTCATGTTATGGGTTTGTCCTACATACAGACTGCCTTCTGGGAAAGGATAAGGCATAATTCTTAAAAGCGCTTGGAACTGATTGTTTCCACTCAACAAATTGGTGCTACTAGCTTACTCCAAATACCAAAAAGTGAAGAAAAAGGTTTATTTTAATAGCTCTAATGAAATTCCCATTACAGAAATGGCCAGCATATTAATTTCCATGCAAAATAATGGCAGACAAGATTTATAAATTAAATGCCTCACATATGTTTCCTAAATACATCATCCACTCCCCAAGGTTATGCACTTCATTAGACATGAACCCTGAATTTTAGTTTACAATTTAGATCTCATGATGTATTGCATTTATAAAAACAGAAATCACAGGATCACCTATCTAAACACACTGGAGCTCATCCTCTCCTTCTTCACATCCGCTCAATGTCAGCTTACACACAATTAGGCCCTCTGCCTCTATTTGGTTTCTATATGGCTAGATTAACATCAGCAGTTCTGCTTGTACATTTAGAGTACTTTCAACATTTATCCACATCACTTAACCTCTAAGAGGTTAGTCTTCTCTTAAGACACGTGTTACAGAGGGGGAATCAATATCTGCGGTAGGGTCTAGATCAAAAGTTGATATTAACTTGTTACAGTTTGTTGCTTGGACTGTTAAGGAACACCTAATTAGAGGTGCAGCCCTACAAGACTAGGAGGTTACCTGGAAATGGAAGAAAATACGAGAAGGGGAAGGTTCCTTCCATGTGCACATAGAATGACATTTTGTGCTTTTACGTGCACAAAAGCTTCTCTCCACAGCAGAGCCCCAAGTGGCACCACCTGTCAAAAGCTGGCTCGTGATGCTCAGTCAAGTGCCATACACCACGTAAGCTTTGTTTGAATCGTACAGTGTATTTATGGTCTAAACTTTTGTTAATGATTTTCCTAGACTATAGGAGACACAGTGAGCGCTTGGAAATCAAACGACTTCTGAACTAATCCGGGAATTCGTGAAGGTAGGAACAGAGCAAAAGGGCGTTCAAAGCACCCACCACGCAACTCGACGCTGCGAGACTTTTGGCTGCAACACCCGTGGGAAAGCACTTCAAAGAATTTTTAATTTATTTTTTTTAAATAATGAATTTGACGGTATTTTTAGCAGCGCGCACACCACCTCTGAGCACACGTCAGCCCATCCGTGGCTCTCACCCACGCGGCGCCGGGGGCACAACCGCGGGCCCCCAGGACGGCGCAGCGAGGAGAAGCGGCCGCCGCCACCGAGGCGAAGGTTCCTCCTCGCCGGCCCGCCCTGCAAGGCGGCGAGGCGGGGGCTGCGAAGTGGCTGAGGCGAGGCGGGGGCGGTGTGCTGAGGGGAGACGAGGCGGGGCCGGTGCGCCGAGGGGAGGGGAGGTGCGGGCGGCAGCGGCCGGGCCGCTGGGGCGAAGGTCGGACTGGGGCTGAATGCGGCGGGTCTGCCATGCCCGGCACGGCGGGTCCCCGCCCGGCAGCCCCAGGCTCTCTTCCCGCTCCGGAGCTCCCCCTCCTCCACCACGTGCAGCATTTTCCCGGCGGGGAGCAGCAATCCCAGCGGGCACTGCCCGTCCCCTCCGCTGCCCGGTGCATTTCCAGCCCTCACCCTGCCCCGCCGCCCCGGCTTCCTCCGGGCGTTTTGCTTCCCACCTGCACGCTCCTTATGTAAGGCAGGATCTGATGGGGAGCGGGGAGGGGGTGTCAGCGCGCACACGCACTCACACACACAGACAGACACAGACATATGTTCACATACACGCAGCATCCCTCCGCAGCCGCTCCCGTGAGGATGCCGATACCTTTTATCCAGGCACGCGATCCACTCGCCGGAGGACGCGGAATGGGAGGTGTGAGCGGCGACCATGTTGGACAGGGCTCAGGTCGCCGCGCACCCGGCTGGCGGCGGCTCCCCCCGCTCGCCCGCCGGTCGGTCCGTCCGTCCTCCCTCCCTCCCTCGCTCGCTCCCTCCCTCCGCGCACGGCGCGATGGGCTCGCCCAGGCCCCGCCGCAGCCGCGGTGCGGGTCCGCCCGCCGCCCTCCCGCCCGTGCCCGCGCTGCCACCGCAGCCGCCGAGGCACCCCCGGCCCTGCGCCCCCGCAGCCGGGGGGGAGCGGCCCGGGGAGGGGGCGGAAAGAAGTCACTCCCCTCCTGAGAGGTGTCGTCGTCCCCCTCCGGCTTTCGCGAGCTCCCCAGTGCCCATACACTGGTCCCTGCCCTTGCTTCACCAGAGATGTCCTTGACTGGGTTTGGAATGGGGGGAAGTACAAGCTTTTTAATTAAAGAGTCAGCTCAGGAGTATTTTAGCAGCACTCCAGATCCCTGTTTGTGTGTGTCCCCCAGCAGTAAACACATGGTGAGCAAAACGAAGGTGCAGTCCACATTACAGGATTTTTCCTGAAAGCTTCCTCCAGCCTGCTGTCCATACTGTCATTGCAAATGAAATTGTGTCCTAAGGCTTCTTGTTTATTGTAGGTGAAAAATGAGCTGGGCAGTATAGCCTGTGAACAGGATTTAGCACTTGGAAGGAACCCAAGACAGAGCATGAGAAAGGTGAGTCCACTGTACAATGAGAATTACCCACACCCTCCTGTTGTCATAGTGTGGCCTGCAAAGTGCAGGGTTTTTAATGATGCTAATGTATGATTTAAGAACTGATGAACAGAAGAAGGAATGCAGAGCAGCAGGTCTCCCCGTTTTGCAAATTTCTACATGAAATATTTCCTATAAAATATTTCAGGATCTAGAGAATATCTTCCCAAGTAATCAGTGCATGACCATAAGCTTCTGCTTACAACTTGCCTTGAGTACCATGGGAGAAGGGTAGGAAGCTGTACAAATCTCCACAGGATGTTCAGAGTTTCATGTGTATGATAGCAAAGTAAAACTCAAACTCTGCCTTCCTTCAGGCTCATAACTCCTCTGCTCTACAGTGTGGGGACAAATGATTAATTCAGATGGTGAGCATCTGCCAGTGCCTTTCACAGTTCTCCATGGGCTATCTTCTCTGCCCTCTGTTGAAATTTCTTTGGCTGTACCAAGTGTAATTTTCTTACAGACATGTGCTACTTCACATTTCACATCTGCCTTTTAATTGGCTGCATTGCTGCTACAGCTTCTTTAGCACTTTAGCAGAAATAAATGTTAACATTGGGATACTGAACAGTATGATGTAAAATCTAAGGAAATGTATCTAAAAATCCCTTTTGCTAAATAGATACTGCTAAGAAATTGGCATAGCAGAAGAGAATGCCAAAAAAGGCAATTCTTTCATTTTGCCTCAAAAAAAAATTGAAGTGCATGCTAGAGGAATAGAAGAGGCTGCCAGTCAGTGAGATCAAAGCTGCAGCTCTTCCTTTGCTACAGTCCATAGGGAAAAAAAAAAGAGAATTTTTTGCATCTAAGCAGTCAATCTACTCGAGGAAAATCAATGCTATTCATTCGTCAATACGCAAATGTTTGGGAGCCAATAGAACAAGACCTTAAAAGGTAAGAAACTCTAAAATTCTCAATCAAATTAATGATTTATAACACAGTATGTACATTACAGATGAATCAATAAAGCTCACTAATTTTGTACCATTATAAAAGATTCATCACGTTATTCCACATAATTACAATTTTCCTTCCAGAGCCGTCACACAAGGCAGCCCTTACTGCCCATTCTCCCCTCAGCCCAGTTTAAGCTGCAGAAGATTCACTTTCCACTTAACTGGCGTCAGGCCGGAGAAGGATCCCAGAAATATCTCCTAGCTGAAGGCCTTTACCTTTCCTCCCGGGCTGTTCCGCGGGCAGGACCAGCGGTGCCGGTGCCGGCGGGTCCGGACCCAGAGCAGGGCCCGCACGCACCGCCCCGGCCGCCAGGGGGCGGGCGAGGCCGCGCCAGGGGCGCTGGCAGCGTCACGGCCCTGGGGAGCGGGAGGAAGGCTGGGCGGGAATCTCCCTTTGGAACGCTTTGCAGGGATGGGGCCTGTGAAAACCTGGGTCAGTGCTCATGGACCCACCCGTGACCGAGCAACCTGCCTGCCCTGGACAGCCCTCTGCAGTTACCAGTGCTTTTGACTGCGAGGAATGCAAGGCCTGTCGGCACGAAGCGGGTGTGGCTCAGGTGCGTGGCTGTGGGCGGGCAGCACTCAGGTACCTTTTTGTAGAGTAACCATTAAACGAGAGTTTAACACTTTGTGGATTATACAAACTAGACAGGCCCAGCGTGGGAAACCCTAGTAGGAACTAGGAACCCTGGGTACATCTATACGTCATTCAGAAGTGTCCCAATTAGAGAGCAATTAGAGCAAGACAGGCAGAATTATCTCTGTATTATGTGTAATCATGTAGCTTTCTGATTAAGACACGAGTGAAACTTCTCAGAGAAACAGAGAAGCAGTGAATAAATAATTGATGGGTACAGATATCAACCTTTGTCAATCAAAGGGTCTCCAAACTACACAGAAATGTCAGGAGCTCCTGACTACTGAAATCAGAAATCCTGGACACCAGGTCAGTGCATGTTCTCTTGAGATAAAAGGTGCCAAATAAACGTTATATATCTCACATGACAAGTCAAATCAAATGCGGATTATCCTGTGACTCTTAAGAATTCAAACCGTAACAAGCCTAGGTAACATAATTTTAGAGTATTGGCCTTATGTTAATGGGGTCAAGTACCCATTCACTTGGGAGAGCATACACTAGAAGAAAAATGCTGAAGCACACTTCATTAGTTTATACTCTGTACCTCCTCTTGGTGCCTCACAGTGTCCATTCTCCATTACCCTTGTAAGCTATACACTTGCATGAAGAAAAGGTGACCCAAAAAGATATTTGAGACCCGGGAATTGTTAATGGCCAAAAATTCACTTGTGCTCAGTCTCACCTGTATCTACACATGCCTTTTATTACACCTTTTATGAAGTTTCACCTGAGAAAACATAAAAGGACTATGCCTCGTTAAAATAACTGGTGGTTGGAAAATCCCTTTCTCATAAACAAAACCTTTTTTTCAGCATTTGTGGAACTCCACAGTAATGCTTCACATTTATTTTCTCCCAGTTGAACAGAAGGCTAGTGGGATTTTTTAGAATCTGATTTGTGAGATTTTATTATGCAGCCAGAAAATTAAAATGGCAGCTGCTTTCAAAGGAGGTTGCTGCTGGGAAATGGACAGTTTTCACCAGAGGTATGTGAAAGATCAAGTGGCCTTTTAACTTTCCACAGTTTATGAAGGAGTGACAGAGCCATGCAGAAGCCCTTAAACCACAGAGAACCAGAAATTAGCCAGACCTCAAGTTTTCACATGCTTGTAAGACTAAGAGTTCAGATGTGTAGGATCCAAATTGTTGTTTGCATTATGGGACATAAGGCAAAGCGTGTTGAATTCTTGAACCAAAAGACTAAATCATAGTTGTTAGAGCTTGAAAAAAATCACTAAATATGTTTATTATGATCACACAGTAACGGAGAACAGAGGAGGGCTATTGTGGAAACCTCTTTGTACCACTAATTATACCAAAAACTTTAAGAGGTTTCATGTAACTGCAATAATAATAATAATGTTAAAGGGCAGTAGGGGTTGCCTTATTTTCTATGGCAGTCTTGGATGCTATGTATGATAGCTCATACTAAAGAAATTAGTTATGATATAGTGACACATTAGTGGTCACAGAATCTATAACCTCCCAATTAGCATCATAAAGCAATTTTAATTTCAGAGCAAACTCACAAAAAACCTCCAGAAGCTCAGTCCTCAGTTCTGGCCATGTATGTTCAAGAGAATACCTGGGGGAAACAGTTGGTTTCCAGCCACCAATGAACTCTCCTGACTCCTGTGTCTGTGGAAGTGTTGCTCAGCCTCAGGACTCTTCTAATCCAAGCTGACTGTACTGAATCTAGTTGATAGCACAAGGCATTGACTACATCCTTTGTCCCTAAAATGCAAGTTGGACACAAGGTAAGATAAGGCCAGCTCCACAAGTTTCAAAACATTTAATATTTCCTTTCTCTAGAGAAACTCAGTTTTGTCAGTTAAGCTGATTTAAAGCATGTTTTGTGTTGTCATGTGGAAGCCAATTTAAATAGTTTAAGTTCAGAATGAGCACATAAATTCTACCTCAAACAATAGTTTAAATTCATGTATCACTCAGAAGTTTTGGAAGGAAGATTGAGTCTGACAGAACTGTGATCCATGTTTAGAATACAGCAGTGCCACATTCAGTGTGGTTAGAGTTGTAGGAACCAAAATGTGTTATCAGTTGTACACACACAACATCTACAGACTTCAAAGGAGTAATCAGGATATAGTGGAATAAAGATGGAGAAACCTGCATGTGAGTTCTTTCAGGATTTGCATGCTGGGGAAGCTGCAAAAGATGTGATGACACACAAACTTTAAACCAATGCATGTATTAATAAAACTGTGCTGTAAAGCCTACAAGCAACATACTGATTCTCCTCTCCAGTGCTAATCCTTAAACCCAACATACAGTGATATAACAAAGGGTGTTTTAGAACAAGTAGGGACTTCCTTTCCACATTAACTTCCTGCATCATCCCATGTTCTATCTTTTTCTTTCTCCTGTTCTCCTTTCTAATTCAGGACAACTCTCCAGTTCCCTTCAAAGCACCTTCTTCAGAAATTCCACGGCACCACAAGCCATTTCCCCCATAATTCAGGAAGCCCACCACACTTCTTATGATAGCTCTACCAAGATATTCTCAGGAAAAGGTCTCAGAACAAAACAGATACAAGTGAGATAGATATGGACAGACAAGCAAGAAACAGATATACTGGAAAGAAAACATACAATGTCCTCTATAGAAGGTGTAGCATAGGCACAGGTGCAAGGCAGAGAAAATACAGCTGAGTTGATATTTATATGAATTGATAAAGTTTAGATTCTAGGCTCTTTAAAATTAGTTGGTAGTTGGCTGTTTGCTCAGCAGGACAGAACTGTTTCCTAAATTCCTGAAAGCAAAAGAGCTAACTGGACTTATAGTGTATGTCCAATTTATATGGGCCTTACAAGTTGTGAGGATTTTCTGGACAGTAAAAGATTGATTGTTCATTGTATATAACGCTGTGTTCTGCATCATTTTACCCATCCTTATATGACATTGTCCTTTCTAATGAAGTAAACTAAAAGCATTGTCCATAGTAAGGGCCAACACAATCAGTATTAAGTTAGTCTATACTCCTTGAAATAAAATACTCTCAAATTCGTAGCATGAAATGCAATGAGTCCATGTTACATTTCTCATTAAGAAAACACGAGGCAGAGCAATCCCCTTTTGTATTATTACTTGGCACAGGTTTAGCAGCATGTTGCACAGAAGTGCTATAAACATTTTTCTGTTTGAAGACCAATATCAAAGCCTTTCTGGGGCATCACATTTTGAACAGATGGTCATTTGATTTGTACACCTGAAATCTGAGCCCTGAGGTTAATTCAAAAAAGACTCAGAGAAACCACACAGAAATAGGCTTCAAATTATTAACGTTAACAACATGGGTGTGCATAGGTTTCATATTTTCTGTTTAACTACTTTCTTTTGAATAGGGGCTTTCTCCATCGGATTTTTGTCAAATTCTTCAAGTCTTACAAAACTGGATGAGCAGGGGAAGGTATAAGTGGAGCTGTTCTGTTTAATATACTTCCTCAGTTATGTTAAGACCTAGATAGCTGTGCTGGCAATGGAAGGCAGAATGTCAGAATCTTATTTCACAGGAAAAAGAAAGTCTATTGAAATAAATAAACACTAAGTTCTAACTTAATCATAAGAATATTGTAAAGATTAACTAGATGATGAAGTATAGTTCTGTGAAGATGCAATGCTTTACATAAATGTTATTTTAATGTATTAGTGTTTAGTTCTATGGACACATCAGCATACTGTGTTAAAACAGAACTTTGTATGCACAACTCAGGACAACATAAGGAATTTCAAAATTATAAATATCAGGAAAATACTTTGCAGTTGCCAAAGATATGAAGCAGTCTGGGACTCGTACTGTACTGTGTCCCTTTTCAGTATAGCATTCAGGAGACAATAGAATTAGACCCACACTCTCTGAGTACAGGGCAGACACATCAGTGCTTCTTAACAGACCCAAATCAAACTGATCAGCTGGGGCTGAATCAGAGACTTGGTGAAGAGGATCTTGCTTTATGTCCAGTCATAGGAATAGGGTTCATGGAATGCTGGACTGACTCTCCACATTACCCACAAGGGCTGACAGGTACATTATTTCAGCTCCTTACTGCCTGAAAGCAGCTGTGCTGTCTCTGGGCCAGACCCAACATGTGTTCATTTATAACACAAAGAATGCACTTGGAAACACCAGTGTACTTATGAGTGAGTACACTGCACTGTCAGCTCAAATGTCTCACTTTCTCTTGAACATACTTATCTTACCATGGTTAATGAAATTAATCATTGGATTGTAATTATTCACTCACTCTTTCACCCAAGGTACAAAAGCAAATGAAAGTTCTTATTGTCTAAATGTGTAATTCCTTATTCCTTTATCCTTACTTGCCAGCTTTGCTGTATTTCAACAATCACAGATTTTCATTGAGGGATGAAAGAAAAGGTGGTTTTGCTTACCTGCAGAGCCAGATGAGCATATTTTAACTGTTCAGGCCAAGTTTTATCTTCACAACTTGGTGTCAGCTCTCTCTGCTAGATACAGATGGATATACTTCTGGGCAGAAAGAGCACTAGTTCATGACCTGCCCCTAAATTTGCTACAGCTGCTATTGAAATGATTAGGCTACCATAATTTGTTATTATCAAATATCTAGTTTTCATCATTTTAGTATGTGGAGTCTGAGGGAAAGCCTGCAAATGCTTAGGAGCAAGCTACTCCATTAAATAACCTTGTGGTCTCTGTGTCCTCATAGATGATACTCCAGCAAGAAAATTTGTAATGGGTAGAACATGGTCCTCCTTACATCCCTTATTTTCACAATATTGATCTTTTCAGAATAAATTCAAATAGATTTTATTTTTAACATTGCTTGATCACTATAGGAAATTTATATTTCCTGAAGTCCATTCCCCATTTCTCCTAGCAATCAGTTCCAGAAATCAAATATATCTATTTATAACTTTTTTCTCAGTTGTATATTTGTATTGATGCA